CTGACATTTGCTCCTGACGTACCCTGAACAAAAAGCGATTGTACGACAGTTTAACGTATTGACGACAGCGCGCAAAACATGTATTCTGCACATTGCAAGCCACGTGGAGCCATGTGGGATGTTAGTGTGCAAAGACTTTATGAGCTGGACAAAACTTCAAATTCATTTTTTCTCCTTTCTTCTCATCGTCGCTATCAAATGAGTAAAAGCAGTAGTATAAATGAACGTGGAGTCCCGAGTATATCACGATAGTGTTTTTACTGCACCATGATGCCCCTGTTGTGCTCTTATTGATTCCATGATAACTTGCACCCTATTCCATCAATTTACAATTGCGACCCCTTTCGGCCTGTCGGAGGATTTTCCTCAAAGATAAGAGTTACGAGGAATGGTCATTGGTCAGTCCGGCCGTTTGAAATGAGATGTAGTCCAAGTGGACGCGTCTTGCGACGCTGAGCTCAAATCCGTTTTCGTTATCTGCGGAACGATTCTCTGAGAGAAGTTAGGGGGGATTTTTCTCTTTGTGACTTTCCCACTGTGGCACCCTCTACATCACTTAGCTCTTTCTTTATTTCCTGTGCAACTGCGAAAAGCTGTTTTGTTTTGATCATCATGTGAAGAACTATCACATATGCTCACGAATTATTGAAATTTTGTATATTTACGAGCCTGTGTCCTTGTGTTTTGTCCCGTGTGTCAAAGTTCATCATAATAGAAAACCTAAAAAGACGGACGAGAGGAAAATTCCAAAGTCTGTCTCAGCCACATGTCAAGTGGGGACGCAAATCAACAAAATAACCAAATATAGACACTTTTTGGGCTCGTATGAGAAGCCATGAAAAAATGCAAAAACTTTGCGGTTCTATGGATCCGATCCTGTGACCGCTCTCCCGTATGAGTCTAGGGAGATATCCATTAGGCCACTTTCGGCCAACTGTGTGAGATGCTCTCTGGCTCTTCTTATGCGAACCATGTAGGACAGGGGAATGTAGAGGATGCCACAGTGAAAAAAGCCATAGTGAGAAGATCCCCTCGTAACTTCTTTCAGAGAATCGTTCCGCAGATAACGAAAACGGATTTGAGCTCAGCGTCGCAAGACGCGTCCATTGGACTACATCTCATTATAAATGGCCGGACTGACCAGTTGAGCATTCCTCGTTAGTTACAATCCTTGAATATGTGGACTTGTAAGAACATTTGAATGCTGACGACATTGTGCTGCTTATGTAGTATGAATATCTATGAAACGATAACTTCAACAGGGGCTTTTACCCGCCTCCAACGTATTTTCAACAATCTCGAGGTATGCTTGAGAAAACGGGATGTGACATCTGCTCTGGCTTATTTTGTCATGAGGAAGGATTAGTGAGTTTTTGGCGCATGGCATGAGGAAAGTGTTTATCACCACGGATTATTTCGGTTGTTAGCAAAGCTAAACCACACAACCAATCGTCTACTCATGTGGGAAGAATTATATGGCAAGATTTAGCATTACATCCCTTTGGTTTGAAATGCGTCTCATATATTAATAGTAAATTCCCCCAGTTACCCTGCTAAAGCCTAAGTAACCAGTTGAAAAAAAAAACTTGTGCTGAGCCCAGCTTGAGTTCTAAACAAATATCTCTACGTGAACTGTTGCAGGGTTATCATGGCTTTTGGCTTTGTGAATTTTTGAAGGATAGCATTTTTGTTTATCAAAGTACCCTTTAATTTCATACTTGTTTACTGAAAACATTGCTAGAACACTAGCGTGCCATTTCTATAGTGACAGAATAGTTTCTCGAGGTAAATTCCAGTGCTTGCAAAATTAGGATTTAATTATGGCCTTTACAATCAGATCATGAAGGTACGACCTAAATTTCTGTATCATTTGCAGTCAGAGTAAACAGAATGGGAAGGGGTTACTCAATGTCTTAGACTTCTTATATGGCTGCTAGAATTTCATGATGTATCATTTATTTCCAAAAATCAAGAGCGTTAACAGAACAAAAAGATAAACAGCACTATCACAAGATTGCTGATTACGGGCAAAACTTTCGCCCAGCCAGGATTTGTACCCGCGATCTCTTGCTTTTGGGCAATTGTGCTGCCAATTACACTACCGGGCACCATTTCATTCCAACTCAGCTTCAATGTTAAGAATATCATAGCTTATAACAAACATAACAATACTCTAAACTAATGTAATTGTCGTGCCAACCGGACCAGCGGATAGGGGATTGCATCGGCGGCGTCTACGAGGCGCGTGAAAGCGTTTGATTCCAGTGGATGCCCATAACACCTCAGAAGCGAAGATGCGCGTGCTAGCGAATGCTCGACGATAGGCGTCCATGCCCGCAGCTAGCTGTGACTTGGCCTGCTTCGCTGACCTTGGAAGGGACAAGCGAGCTGGCGTGTACAAGTTGCCCTGTGGATGCGTGGACGTCCATCAGCCTAAAGAATAAGAAACTAGATATTGTGCATACTATAAATATCTAGAAGGAAGGAGATACGGCCTAGAGCGGGTGAATGACTACTACTGAGAGATGGCTGATAACACGACTAAAATACGGAATCAGGAGATACTAAATAGGCTTCGATACACAGTAAATGATATGCGAACTTCCCGATGATATATTACAATGAAATCTAGGAGGGAAGAACTGGAAAACCTATTAGAAGGAGCCCGGCGAGGCGACTGTTGAGCTTAACAGCGATCAACAAATATGTATCTAGAAAACTAACCGTTAGTACCATGGCGAACTGACTCACCGCAAGCAAGGGAAAGGCATAAACCAAGCAATGAATATGATCGAAATATCCGAGAGAAGAGAAGGACGACGGGCCGTGTGGGTGATGCAACAGCGGATGACGGCCAGAGTTGGCGCTTGGCGCAGGCAAGCAGGGTCCTGAGCCGCTCAAGATTAGCGCGAAGTTTGAATGCTTAGTTTGTCTTGTCAGCGCAGTCTTAGCGCACCTTTACTCGAGATCATGGTACGAGTCAAGACAGTAATGGGAAGATGATTTCAAACTGCATGGAGCGCGAGTGGAAAGTTGAAGACAACAGGACAGTCGCCACCAACACTGCAAGCCACCTATTATGATACAATTTACGATGAGGTTAGGCGGATGAACTCCTTTATGAGTATAGCTATCCAAAATATGTGAAAGTGCGTATCAAGGTCACTACAGCATTAGTCACGCAATGCGTAGTGTCATACATGGGAGGGCTGCGGTAATCTGCTCCCACTATTGCCACCAATGCAATGGTTTCAGGAAAGGTTCCCTGCGTCCTCTCATGGGGAGCGTTCTCTCCCGTGTTCTCTCCTGGGCGCTCTGTGTCTCGTCTTTTGACGCAATCGGCAGAAAAGGAAGACCGGAATTCTGATTTTTCCTGCAATTTCTATTTCTTAATCGTCCACTGGTGATCATTTTCAGTCTTCTATTAGGATGGTAAGAAAGTCCTGAAGCCGTTCGACACTTTTTTGTGCTTTACTTTTTATTCCGCGTACAATGGAATCTACCCAACAATATATATCACCATTGTTACTCACTACAGAGTCCCACCTAATGGGCAGGTCAGCGACCTCCTTCTCCCAGAACTGAGCAGACTGAGAGTCAAAGAAATCGCTGACCGCTCTTCCAACTTCTTTAACTTTGGTGAATTTTTTCTTCGCTAGGGATGCCTTAAGGGGATGGAGTAAGTGATAATCAGAGAGGGCAATGTAAGGGGAATAGGGTGGATGGGGAACCGCGTCCCAGATCAGCTCTTCCAATTCTGCACGGGTCTCTTTAGCTATGTGGGGCCTGGCGTCATCGTGGAGTAGGTGGACAGAAGTTCGTCTCGGTCGTTTTTCTTGAACAGCGTCCGCTAGTTTCTAGAGCTGACTGGCGTAAATGCTGCCGGTAGCGGTATGTCTTTACGGGAGCATCTCATAATACAGCATTCCTCACGAATCCCAGAGGTAGCAAAGGAGACAGCTTTTGGGGTGAAGGTCCGATTTTGCTTGTGTCGGCAGGCCCTCTCTCGAGGGAGCCACACGGCACTGTGCTTGTTAGAATCGTAGAGGACCCAACTCTCATCTCTCGTAATCATGCCTTCCAAAAACTCCTTTCGGTGCGGACAAAGAAGGAGAAACTGACAAATGGGTACCCGCCTGAACCGCGTGCTATCGGTCAAGACATGAGGGATCCATCGAGTCAGCACTTTCCTGTGGCGAGGGCGTGGAGGGGACCGAGGACTGTGGGATGGGTGCACCCGAGTCTTATCACAAGGCTGCGGGTGCTAACCTCCGGATCCTCTTCGACAGCGCCGAGAACGGTGGAGTCTTCCACTGTTTGGGGCTTCCCAACCTTGTCTTTCTTTGAAAGCCGTGTCTCCTCCTTCGAAGCCTGCGAACCAGAGCTTGGCACTGATGATGGAAGTGGTGTCCCTTCCCAATGCGATGCTGATAATGTTGACGGTTCCCACTGCTCCTGTGCCGCAGCGCCATTCATTGAAGATGATCGCTCGAAAGTGTTCTTGTGGAATCGACATCATGATTAAAGTTAAAGAAGGCAACCCGGCAATATATACCTACTGCGGAGAAGTATGATCGACAGCGATAGTCTATCACGTAGCAGATTCTAGGTATCGATCAATAAGCGAAAGTTCTGGAGCTTTCAAAAAATCGGCTCAGGACTTTCTTACCATCCCAAATATTTTCACTTTTCAGGAAAACTTCATCCGCAATCTGGGCATATGTTTTACGACAGCTCGATCACTGGTGGAGGTATTTTGAGGTTGTACCCGTTCAGGAGATTAAGTCGATTGCCGTCCTTCAGTCTTATCTTTGCGGTAGTCGACCGCTTTAATGAGTCTTTGCGTCGTATGACTGACAAAGTAAGCGCGTGACTAAGACATGACACGATTATGTTCTCTCGGAATGTTGTGTATTCATAGAAGAGAATGCCATGCTGCATCCCCGTTGACACCGCCTACCGATCGTACACCGAACTGAGTTTGAAACCTCAGCGTATCGATGGCGTGTCGGTTGCTTTACCTTATAACTATTCTATTCCTACTACACAAGAAGTCAACGTCGTTTGATCTTTTCTCAAAAGGTAGAATTGACCAATTTTTTATTTTATTTACCCTATTATTACCCAATACTAAAAAGACTGGTTACACCCGTAGGCATGAGAGGTACTCTTCAGAGCTTTGATAATTTTTTGAAATATGCTTATCCAGTGATCTGTTTAGAATGCACAACACAACGGTGTGTGCTGACGGCCGCTCGCCTTCTTTCAAAAATGGATCCGTCGGTGGATCCTTGTGTCGACTTCTATGACTACGCATGTGGTCAATGGATAAACAACTCTGTAAATCTCAACTATCCTTCATGGAACGTCCTTTATGAGACGAACATGAGGGCGCATGATAAAATAGTTCATGCTATGCTTAAAGGTACGTCCCACTCGTAATGATGCTTCCTTTTATTACCTTTCACAGTAGTTCAAACGTTCTTTCAGTATATGCCATAATTTTTAAGAAACTCTTTACTAATTTTGTTTCTCTACCAGCGTTGAAACGTTCCCTGAAACTTGTTGCAGCTCTCCTTTATGACCCAACCTTCAGCCACTTCCTAGTATCCAAAGTGATGGGGGATCTACTCAGGATTCGAAACAGGGTCAACTGAGACGTTCGCACTTTCTCAGAAATTTCGCGACCCCCCACCAACATAATAAGGCTCAGGAGGCTCCTCTAATATGACCACCCTTCTCCCTAACCCGACCACGAAACTCGCCAGAATGGGTGTTTCTTTAATATTTGATTCTGAACCAGTCGGCTTTTCCTCCTTCACTCCATCAAAAAGACGTCGAGCAGGGGGGGGGGGTCTATTACCAATCTAACTTATCCAAATTCTCAAATTTTACCTATCTCACCCAACAAATTACTTATCCCACGCAACCCCTGAATGTGACCATTCTTCCCAAAATCAACCACAAGTGCGACCCCCTCGTTCGAATAGTACGACGCACGGTTAACCCTG